ATGCTACGCAGCAGCGACGATGCTACACCCAGCAGCGGGAGGGATGCTACGGGCAGCGCAGACATGCTAAAAGCAGCACCCAACGAGGGTACGGGGCAAGCGCAACGTTTTTCTACAGCAGCCCCGAAAGCTGACATTTGGCAGCAGCAGCTGACAGTGCGGGCACCAGCAGCTGTACCACCAATAGTAGCGAGGGTTTTACGGGGGGTTTATTATACAACCCTGGCCAGCTCGGAGACACCCATTTCCACTTTCATTTTTTATCAATGATCTTTTTCTTCTTCTCAATAGAAAAAATTCTCCCCTTTTATTGCTGTAGGGTTGGCATTAAAAAAGCTTTTTTGGGGGCCCCCCGGGGCCTTTTTTTGCAGTTTAAAATCAAAAAAAACATTTTAATAATACGAAATGTTACGTTTTGGTATGTTTTGGATGTTTACCGGGGAGGCGGGCGGGAAAAAAATTTGCCCCCGGGGGAACAGGGTGGGGCTGGCTAAGGGGGCCACTTTGGGACGCGTTCGGACGAAACAGCGGGAGGGGGTTTTTTTAAGCGTAGGAGGTCAAAATTTTTTTCGTTAAAGAAAGCGGTATGGGGTTTTTAATCGTTATTTGTCCCAATGGTATGGGGGGGGGTCCACTGTATATATTATATATTTTTAAAATTATATATATTTATATATATATATATAAAATTTTATATTTAAAATTCCCTAACTATAGTTTAAATTTTAAAAAATCTTATGTTTAAAAAGCATTGACCTGTTTTCCAACCTTTTTATTTAATGACTTAAATGAATCAAACTTTTTATTGAAATTTAAATAAAATTTGCAGAAAAATAAAAAGGTAAATTTTCTCATCCAAACAACAACAAAAATATCTTTAACTAAAAAACAGATCTTTAAAAGCAAGCTTTAGGGTGACCTCATAGCTTTAAAAATTTCCCTTTACATCCCAAATTTATGCCCACTTACACAAATAAAACCCTAAAAAAAAGCCTGTTTAGTACAGAGTCTATCCCATTCCCGGTTTAAACCACAGCCATAAAAACAACTGTAGGCCGGGACCAAAAAGGGGGTGGCACAGCCATATACTACTCAACCAACAGAATTTTAATTTTAATTTACTTGCAAAAGGGGATGAACATGGGGAATATTAATACCCAAAATTTTCAAATCCAAATACCTAAAAAAACCCCCAAAAATTGATAAAAACTTACAGAGTTCCAAGTCAAACATTAGCCAATTGAGTCAAAACCTAGGAAGTATGATAATGTTTCAGGGCCATGAAAAAAAGATCCCTTACTACTTAAAGGTGCCTTCAAAAATAAATCCCCTCCCAAGACCAGGACCCCACGTTAGGGAATTTTCCCCAACAAAAAGAGTAACGTATTTTTGCTACCAACAGTAACAAAACCACAAGATTTAAAGAACAGTGTTTCCCTATTTGGGCCCACATCTGGCCCAAAAACCATATCCCCTTTAAAATCAGGCAAAATTTAAAAGAAATCCCCACGGGAACCACTACCCAACTTTCCTCATAAAAACCCTTTTGGGTTAAAATTTCCCCAAGGGAAAACTACAAAAATCACCCCCCAACTTCACAAAAAGGCAGCCATTAATAACTTCACAAACCAGTAAAAAACATTGACTGGCACACTGAGCTAGAAATCTTTACAGATATTGACGAATGAATTAAAAATTTTTTCTAAAAAAGCCCCCAATACCTCTAAAACAACACTGCCCAAAAAAAAACAAAAAAGGGGACCCCCGTAAGAGACTAAAACATTCCCCGGGGCCCCCCACCCAGCATTCTCAAATCCATAAATACAAAAAAAACCCCAATATGAAAAACAGTACTAATGGGCCCACAAAACCCCGGGGCCCAAACAAACTTACCCCGCAATCCTAACCCCCTGAAAAGAAGGGCAAAAAAATTGTATTATGAGAACGTTTTCCCAAACTTTGGGTGATATAAAAAAGCCCCTTGGAAAACCCTATCAAAAAATTTGGGGAAAAAAAAAGGGGGTTTATACAAAAATTAGCGAAAATAAAATTAGCAAAATCAATAAACCCCTTTTTCCCCCACCAACGAAACAGCAAACGACTCAATTTTGATTTCTTCCCCACATGGGAAAAAACCTTCCCAATAAAACCCCAAAAGCTCAGTTTACCCCACCAAATGACTACCTCACCGGAAAATACCCGAACACACTTTTCTAGCTCCGACAAACCCCATCCCGAAGTCTCCCTTATTATCAATGCACTGAAAAACAAGGAAAGGAGATTTAAATACCTTACCACCCTTTTTTTCAAAAAAAGTTCACAAGTGTTTCCCAAAACAATTTGCAACACGTTTTAAAACAAATCCATTGAATCCCCCACCTTCCCTACATACAAAAAATTTGCAAGGGTCCCCCCCGATCCAAAAAGGAGGGAGCCCAAAACAAAATTTGAAATAACTAAGGCCAATTTTTTTTCCCAAACTTACACCCTCTCTAAAAAAACTTCGAAAAATTAATTTTTTAAACAAATCTACCCCCCTACCTTATCCCCCAAAAAAATACTAAACCCCCTGCCAATTTGGTTTTCAGGCCTAAAAAAAAATACAAATTTATGCTTTTTATACCTGCTAGAAAATTTTATACACTGCAATAGAGAAAAAAAAAGCCCCAAGGGGATCTTAAATTGACTTTTGTAAATTTTTTTGTTTTACAGTTGACCATGACTTGCTCCACTTTTAAAATTGTACACTAGGGTTAATAAGAGGGCCCCCCCTAAACTACCCAAGTCATACCTCAGCAACAGAAGCCAATTGTTAAACAAAGGGGGCCAAAATCTTCTGCAAAACCCAATTCCCAATTTGGGGTGCCCCACGGGGAAGTGTCCTTGGCCCTTTTTCTCTTTCCCCTATACATAAATGACCAAACCAAAGGCTTCACAATTACCCCCAAACCCACATTTGAGAGGACATCCCTTACGTCTTCTCCCCCCCGGGACCCCAGTCACGCTAGCCAAAAATGAAATACCGAAATTACAGAAAATATCTACCGGGTGGGACTAACAAACTTCCCACTAAACATTGACAAAACCTACTTCATTCAGTTTGGTAACAGAGTTTCCAGATGCCCCTCTAACATAAGATAAAGGGTCCCCCCCTTCAAAAAAGTAACGAGGGAAAAATTTTTAAGGAATCCCCCTTTAAATAATGACTCAAATTTCTTACCCCAATAAAACAAATTTCTAAAAAAATTTTCCCAAAGACTGTGGGAAATACTATCAAGATACGGTACTATGCTCCACGGGCCACCCTCCTGGCCCTATTTCACCTCTTATTTACCCTTTTCCCTCACCTAGGGAATTTGTGCATGGGGCTCAACAAAAATTTAAAACCATCTCAGCCCCCTAATTCCCCAAAACCAAAAGGGCGCAGTTAAATGATAACAAATTCCACTAAAAGGCCGCACACCCCACCAATTTTCAATACACAAAACCTTTACTACCATACAAAACACCCATACTTATTACTGCCCCTATTACAAACTTTAGAACCTTAACTCTGATTTTAAACCCCCCCCCAAAAAACTCCTTAAAAACCCTCAACAGAACACATGACCATAACAAAAAGGCATGGGACCACTTTTTGTTTTTCCCTCGTGTCCATCTCACACAATGCAAAAAACTAAATGCACAAAAAGGGCCCAAAAAATCGGGAAAACCCTTACCTGTAAATATAAAAGAAACACCCCTTTTTTAAAAATTTTAAAGTCTCTTCTAAAAGTCACTTATCCCCCAAAAACCAAAAAAATTACTAAAATAACTGAACCTTAAAAATTGTATATCTTAAAATTTTTCTCCAATTATTCACAAAAATGTTAAACCAAAAACCCCAACCCTAATTTTTATTTTTTTTTAAATACACTCCCCAAACAAAATATTCCATACGACTAAAATTTAAAACCCAATGCATGAAAACAATGACCTGTCTTTGTAAACCATTTGTGCTTTATAGTAATCTTTTTAAATTTTAATTTTTTTAATCACTGTTTTCATCTTTGCTTAGTTGGGACATGTAAAGAGAAGGGGGGCGAAACAGAATGACTTCAAGATTTGAAATAAAGGTTTTAGGGGAAAGGGGGAAGGGCGGGGAAAGGGGTGGGCCTGGGAAAGGTTGGAGAGAGGGGGTAAAGGGGGTTTTGTGTGGAGGGGTTTGGACTTCCAGCGGGATGAAAATGACTGTTTGAAGGAGGAAGGGAGAAAAATTTGGTTTTTAAATTGACGGCTTTTTGGAGTGTGGGGAAAAAGTAACTTTTATGAAGGGTTCGGGGAAACCCGGGGCGGGCCCGGGAAAATTTGGTCCGGGAGAGGGGAAGAACAGTGCCTGCATCGAAGGAGGGGTTTTTTAATTTTTGGGCATTTTAAAAAAAACCTTTAGGGGAAAGCCCCCTTTGGGCAAAAACAGTGATGGATTGAATGATGGTAAAAGTTTTTTTTTTTTCGGGCCCCCTTTTCCCTTTGGGTGGGAATGGGGCCAGTGTGATAATAAAAAAAAAAATAATAATATATATATGTGTGTCCCACCCTCCCAGATGACTGTAAAAACAAAAACCTGTAACTTTTTGCATGAGGGGAAAGGATTGCGGTTTTTTTTTTCGTCTAAAACACGCTAGATAACAGGGATACTTGTACTCCTATTTACACTTTGGTCACACTTCACAGCCCACGACATCCCATATATTATACATACATCTGGGGTTTTTCTCCTTTTTCAAAGGTCTTGTTTTCTTTATTTTTTTCTTTTGTCCAGGGGAAATTGGAAAAAAGAATCTTTCCTCCGAAGCCAGCATGTCGAAAAGGGGCACAAAAAATGCCGGGGAGCAAGGGGCTAGAAAACCCCTTCCCCCTGTGAAAATTTACTAAAAAAGAGAAGAAGAAAAACTTTATAAAACGGGGATGTTTAAAAAAGTGCGTGGTTGTAGTGCGGATGACAAAAAACAATGTTTTGTGATTTTTATGAATGAAAAAGAATTTGGGAAATTTTCCCCGGGCCCCTAAGCGAAACAAAGCGGGAAGGGGGGGGTTGGAGATTTTCAGGGGGGGGAAAAAAAAGGGGTTTTAAATCGGGGAGTACCCTGAAAAGGAGTTAGAGCAAAGGAAGGGGT